GGGCTGGCTGGCATGTGGTGCTAGAGGATCGAACCGAGGTCCCTGTGCTTTGCCAAGCTTGTTTCAAGTAGGTGCTTTAGACCACTGAGCCATCTCTCCAGCCCCAATAAATAAATAAATATAAAAGGAAGCAACTAAAAGAAGAGGAGGTGAGGGAGATGGCTCAGTGGAATAAGCGCTTCCCTGGTAAGCCCAAGGGCCTGAGTTCAATCCCCGGTTCCACCAAAAAAAAAAAAAGAAAAAAAGAAAGAAAGAAAGAAAGAAAAAAACCTGTCAGACAATACACAGCATCTTATTTTTAAACATGGTAGGGGTGGGGGCATGGTGGTGCACACCTGTAATCCCAGTATTTGGGAAGCTGAGGCAGGAGGATCCCCATGCATGTGAGGCCATCCTGGACTATATAGTGGGATTCTGTCTCAAAAATAAAACAAAACAAAAACTGATACTGGGGACAAAAACCAAAGCCTTTTGTGCTCGCTTCGGCAGCACATATACTAAAAAAACCAAGGCCTTTGTACTAAGCTACATGCCCAGCCCATCTTTTATTTATTAAGACAATGTCTTGCTAAATTGCCCAGGCTGGGCTTGAACTTGTGACCCTCTTCTCTCAGCATCTCAGGAGTGCCTGCCATCATGCTTGGGTGTATAGTGTTCTTTGTGGGATTCTGTTACAGGGAAAAATGAGAAAACTTTTTTTTAAAAATGTATTTGGTACAAAGTCTATACACAGGCTCTCACTTCGTAGATCGGGCTCATAGTGATCCTCATGTTTTCAGCTTCCCATACACTGGGATTACAGGCGCAACCACACCCAGTCTCAGTGCACCCTGGGGGATGGAACCCGGCCACTGCGCTCTGCCTAAGCAGGCGCTTTCGTCCACTGAGCTATCTGGCAGGCCCTGTTACAGAGAAAATGAATACACGCTAATGGAGGCAAAAGGGATGGCAGAACCACAGCCCACACTGCTCTTCTGTCTAAACACCTCCTTGCCCTGTGGGCCAAGAACAGCAGAATCTGCTATCACTGTCTGGCAGGAGCACTGTCCCCTTCTCCCGGTTCAGCAAGAACAGCTCAGGCACCCAAGAGCCACTGTCCCTACAGGGCCTCTGTAGGGCAAGTGGTGTGGGGTGCCGAACAACTCACCTCATTGGTCCCTCCTTGAGATGCGTAAGTGAACAGACAGGTAAACTTACCCTAGAAAAGGGGAGAAAAAAGGCTTACTAGGAGGTGCTCCTCAGAGCCAAGGGCACAGGGTCTCAGGCCTGCTGAATCAGGAGTGGAGAGAGACCCTGCAGGAGCCGCAGCTACCCCACCTGTGTGTCCCTTCCGTGAGCCCCAGGGTCATTAGAAATGGCCCGTGTGCCCTCCAGCAACCACCCGGTTTTCTTTCTTTTCTTTTTTTTTTTTTTTTGCGGAACCTGGGATTGAACTCAGACCCTTGTGCTTGCTAGGGAAGCGCTTACTCCACTGAGCCATCTCCCAGGCCCCCCCCCCCGGTTTGTTGTTGTTTTTTGGTTTTTGTTTTCATTTTTTGCAGAACCAGGGTTTGAACTCAGGCTCTTGTGCTTGCCAGGCAAGCGCTTATTCTGCTGAGCCATCTCCCTGGCCCCACAACCACCCCTGTAGAAGGTGCTCTGGGAGCAGACACCTGGAACCCTGGACCTTTTTCTCTTTTTCGAGAAAAGTTCCCCCTATGTTGTTCAGGCTGGACTCGAGCTAGTGGAGATCCTCCTGCCTCAGCCTCCCACATGCTGGGATTACAGGCACATGCCACTACCCCTACAAACGTAAAAACAAAAAAAACCCTTCTGAGCCGCTATTTCCTCTTCTGCCAAATGGGCTTAACAGATAAGACCCCGAGCAAGTCACTTGGCTACAAGGAAGTGCTCAACACAGGTTAGCGACGGAAACGGCTGTCGCACTGCAGGAAAGGGAAGCTGAGGAAGCGGCTTTTCCCAGCGAGCTGGGGACAAGGCTGAGCTCCACCCTGGTGTGCTGGTTTCACGAAAGGCGCCTCGATGACGAGGACACGGGACCCCGCGGGCGGACGCGGACGGCACAGACCACGGCCACTGCCCCAGCCCCTCCCTCCCCACCCCAGGGTCCGGCGCTTCCCGCTCACCGGGCACAGGTGACAGTCGGAGGGCGGCGAGGCGGAGGCCACGCCCCCCGGACGCCCCCATCTCAGTCCTTCCCCCCAGCGAGCCCCCCGCCACTCGGAGTCTGTGACCCACCCTGGCCCCGGGCTCCAGGCCACTGCGACTCCGGTTCAGACACCCCGGGGCGACGGCGGCACCTACCCCGGGCCCCACGTTCTGGGAGAAAGAATGCACGACGCCACCGGGCCTCACGTCAAACGCCACTGTCGTGGGCTCGGACACTGCCCCTGCCGGCCTCGAAGCCACCGCCGCCAAGAGCACCGCGGCAAACCAGGCTCTGCCGTAGGAGTCCCAGTTTCTGCTGGGCGCCGCCATCTTGGGATCGGGCGCGGCGGGCGGGGGAGCGCGGACGAGGCGTGGCGAGGGGCACGTGGAGCGCGCGGCGCGGGCCACGTCGGCCTACGGCGGCCGCGTGCCTTCGGGGCCCGCCCCTTCCGCCTCCCAGGGGCCGTGGGGCGGGGCTGGGCAGCAATGATTGACTGAACCGCTCTTCCAATGAGTGCTCGTGGGTTGAAAGGTTGTGGTGGTCTTCAGCCACACACCTTGTAGTGGTTGCTGCCCCAGTCTTCGATGGACGCTCAAAACGAGTGGAAAAGACACGAGGGATCTTACGCTTCTCTTGAAATTTATCTTTTTTAAATTTTTAATTAACGTATTTTTATGTACTTGGCACAGGGTCTCACTGCGCAGCTCAGACACCTAGTGATGTTCCTGTTTTCAGTCTCCCCAATGCTGGGATTACAGGCGTGCGCTTCCACGCCTGGACTCAGTGGCTAGCACAGCGACACGGCATGTGGTACCAGAGATCAAACTGGGGTCCTTGTGCTTCCCTAGGCAGAGCACATAGACCACTGAGCTATCTCCGTGGACCCTGAAATTGATTTTTTTTTTTAAATTATCTTTTAAAGATGTCTAGGAGACTGCCTGGCAAGTGCAAGGTCCTAAATTCAATCCCCAGTACCAAAAAAGTTAAAATTTTGTTTAAAAACGTGAGGTGGGGAGCAAAGAGATAGCTCAGCACCTGCCTAGGCAAGCGCCAGTCCTGGGGCTTTGATCTCCAGCGCCGCCGCATAGCACGCCGGCCCTGCTCACGGCTGCGCTGAGCTGTCCACTGAGTCCTGGCATGGTTGCGCACGCCTGTAATCCTAGCGCTGGGGAGGCTGAAAATGGGGATCACTACGAATCTGAGCTGCGCAGTGAGACCCTGTACCAAATACATATCTGTATTTCCTGTTCTGAACCTCCCCAGCGCTGGGATTACAGGCGTGCACCACCACACCAGGACTTTTAGCTGGTGCAGTGCGCCCCTAAGGCAGTGCTGGCGGGGCATGCCAGATTAGGGATGGAACCCTGGCCAAAGCAGGCGCTTAGACCCCTGAGAAATACATAAATTTAAAATATAAGAAACTTTTAGGGGAGCCATGGATATAGCTCAGTGGAACAGAACCAGTGCAAGATCCTGAGTTCGGTTCCCCGTACACACAAACAAAAAAGTATTTTTCCCCTTCTGGTGCTGGGGATTGAACCCAGGGAGTTCACACTGAGCTACATGCCCAGCCTTTTTTTCATTTCTTATTTTGAGCTAGTGTCTCCCAAACTCACCAAGTGGCCCAGGATGCGTTCGCTCAAAACCTGTCATTCTTGTGTTTCAGCCTCTGAGAGCACTGATATGCCAGGCCCCACCACGCCTGGCTTCCTGTTCATTTTTTTTTTTTTAATTTTATTTATTTATTTGTGTGTGTGTGTGTGTGTGTGTGTGTGGCCAGCTCAGCCCACCAGGGGTCGGGGCTGGCTGGCATGTGGTGCTGGGGGATTGAACCGCGGTCCCTGTGCTTTGCCAAGCTTGTTCTAAGTAGGTGCTTTAGACCACTGAGCCATCTCACCAGCCCCATTCCTGTTCATTTTTACATGATGTCAGTTCAAATGACATTTGAGGGGCCGGGGAGATGGCTCAGTGGAATAAGCGCTTCCACGGCAAGCGCAAGTGCCTGAGTTCAATCCCCGATTCAGCAAAAAACAAAACAAACAAGGAAACAAAAGCGACATTTGATGGCTGCTGCCTTACATAAGCTCCTTGACATTTCACAGAGTATATTGTCAAGTATAAAAATAGTGGGTTTTTTTCACCAGGGAAATAATTTTCAGATCAATATTAGTTTTTTGGAGTTTTTTTGTGCAGGGTTTCACTACACAGGTACTTATTAATGACAAAGAGAAAAAAGGCAATTTCATGGTGGATGGTGGGCAGTGTTTTTTGTTTGTTTGTTTTGGAGACAGGGTCTCACTATGCAGTTTAGGCTGGCCTTGTGCTCACTTTTGTAGCCCCCAGGCTAGTCTTGAACCCGCAGAGATCCTCCTAGCTCAGCCTCCTGAGTGCTGGGATTACAGGTGTGCAGCACCACTCCTGCTTCTGAGGCCGCACGGTGGGCGCCCGCATCTGGGGCCGAGACCGCACAGCATGTGGGACTGGGGATCGATCTCGGGTCCTTGTGCTTGCCGGATAGGTGCTTTTGTCTCTGAGCTATCTCTCCAGCCCCAGTGGGCAGTGTTAATGTCAGCAAGAGTGTTGTTACAGATGCACTGACCAAAGGACACTGTCCCAGAATCCTCTGGGATTCTGCCAGAAATGCATGACCAGTCTAATCATGAGCTCATCGCCCGACAAAACCAAATTGAGGGACATTCTATAAAATAGCCCACAAGTCTCAGGAACAGAGGCTGAGGAGCCCTTTGAGACTGAGGAGACAAGATCGCAGGACGCAGCGTAAGATCCCGGACCGCAGAGGGGCACAGGAAGGAGCCGGCCCAGCTGTAGCGAGGTACGGGTTGGGGAATGGCCTCGAGCCGCGTTGACTTCCTGGCTTTGGGGCTCAGCTTGCCCATATGACTTCTGAGACTTTTCTGGAAGCCTAAAATTATTTTGGAATAAAAAGAAAAAATAATCCCTCCCTCACAGACATGTTAAGAAAGGTCGGGGAGGGGATTTAGGTGAAACTACTGCAAGATTTAGCACAGTGAGAACTCTAATCAGCTGTTGCTAGTGAGAATCTCACCAGGAAGTCTCCGGATTTCAACTTTAGAAGGAAATCATTTGTGTTATGTTTTGTTTTGTTGAGGCGGACAGTCTCACTATAAATATA